AAAAAGGAAATTTGAGCCGCACTTTGCACCATACCTCGCTCGAGGCCTGTTCTGATCCGGATCCATACACAGACATACCCCCTGACGGTCGCCGACAAAGGCCGTGCCGAGCGGCTCAGCCCCCTTTAGCCACCCACTCTCTCCACCGTCAGTTGATCCGGACAGGCTTAGACATCCCCCGGTCCCCCCGTTCTGATCCGGACAACCACCCCAGAGATCGCCTCAAAATTTGGCCAATTTGATCCGGAACGACTCATAGATTCCAAAAAATTTCCCCCGTCCTGATCCGGACGGGGGATCATAGGTTTGGCAGTATAGTCCAGGGTCCTGCGAGCACCCTCGTGAGGACTGTGTCGTAAAGCGTAGTCATGGCACCAGATCGGTCTTTTTTTTCTTGGGTCGGTCGACCTGAGAAAATCCCAGGCGTATTTCAATGATTATCATTGTGTACCAGCGGTTGCCGTGGATATTGAGCTAGTGGCATTGAAGGGGGGGGCGGACGCTTTACTGAGGCTATTGAAAGCTGGTCGCTGGACAATGTGAGCCTTCAAAGACTCCATGCTTGGACATATGGCCGTTTTCGTACCTCGGAACTCCTTTGGAAACGAGCAAAGCCTCTTCATCGACTTCCTGCGGATTATGGATCGAAAAGGATACTGGTCACTGGTATCTTGATTCTCGACGTCGTCCACCACTCAAAGAGCGACATATGATGGAATCAGGCGGCACCCGCAAACAGAATAGCGAGCCGCGGGAAGTGTACCGGTGACCGGAGAGACCGAGGTGCATTGAGGGGCAACCACCTGCTCATGAGTCGTCGTCGCAATAGAATACTCGAATTTCGAAAGGTGTGTGCCTGTAGCCCACACGCGAGATTCGGTTCCAATAGCATTCAGCAGTTAGAGATCCTTCCGACAGGAGAGTTTCATCCTCGTTCTTCGTGCATTCCGACAGTGAGCACACTAAACAGAACGAGAAGACCTGCGAGCACACCCAATCAAGATTGTATGTCAGGCTTTAAGGTTGAAGTAGCCTCGGGGAATCTGAGTGTGCTCCTTGATCCTCTGGAACCGACGGGCCGCTATAACCTAGTGCAGGATAGGAGTGTTTAGATGGATCCTTATGGTACGTTTCGACATGAGCTACGACCAATCAAGAGCAACGAACCGCGATTCTGAAAGGTGAGATTGGATTATGAAGCTGAGGAGCCCGTTCGATGGTGGATATAGAAATACAGGTTTGTTTATTGTTTGGCTCGGGGTAGTGACTACACCTGGCAAATGCCGCTTGGCAATTGACCACCACCATTCCTCGTCAGGCAATCCGAAATTCCTCGACAACAGCTTGAATGAACATCACAGACTCTGAGCAGCTGGCCACAATGCCGACTGTTATCGTGGCGGATCACTGAAAGCTCCTCAGGACATCATCGCATTCCGCAAAAACTTCGATTTAACCACTCTCAAGGGCATTCTTGACCATGCTGCATTCTCCCTGTACCTAGTGGCGTTTGTTCGCGCAATACTCGTTTAGCCCTGGACGATATGGCTTTCTTTCACGTGGTGGATGTTTTCGGAGGTCATGATGTTACAAGAGGAGGTTCCGAAATTGCGGATGCATCGGCACTGAAGAGACGGCTCCGACTGGGAGGCGAGACATGATTAGGTTGTGAAATCTAACTCGATGGTAAGCTTCAGCTCTGCATTCATAATCTTTTTACCATAAAACATGCGCAGCAGGCATCACGGCTTTACTACCCCGCATACACGGAGAATTCGAAGAAGTTAGATTTCACTATTGGGATTATCATCAACATACCTCGAACCACATGGAATTATTCGGACCTTGGCTTGGCTTCAGTTCAATCGTCAGCATGGACCATCACTTCTTCCACACAGCAGATAAGATTCACAAGGTCATGTTGAAGGTTACGCATCGTCACGGATACTCCGTTATGTTATAAAGAACGAGCAAATCCGATATACCCTGGCGCTCTCTGGCCATTAGTCTTGCCCTCCCTCTCAGACTCTGTCATCATGAAACTTCAGTCTTTCCTTGCCTTGCTCGCTGTCGCGCTACCCCTCGTGCGGACTGCACCGATATCTCATGATGAAATTGTCGCCAACTCTGCCAAAGGCCTTCGCCTTCTTGAGCTTGAGGATGGTGCCGAACCAGTCTGGGTTACGGAAGCGGAGAAGGATGCCTTGATCATCGAGGACAAGGGATTCGTACGTTCTCACGATATTCTTACCCTTCCGTGTCTCACTCGCTCAATAGTTCGACGTTACTGAGACCTATGAGGCATGGCAAAACCTACCCGCTGCAAAGGCTGCGGAAAGTTCTTTCGCTACATGTAGGTTATCCCCTAACGGCGAGATCTAGCGTTGAGTACTAAAACTCTGTAGACCCCGACCCCTCTCGCCAGACACAGGTCAAGGCCATCATCAATACCCTCTCGATCTCCAACATGCAAACCAACCTCAACACCTTGACGGCTTACAATAACCGACGCTACGATCAGGCCACCGGTGCTGAGGCTAGCAAGTGGATCGCCGACAGAGTTAAATCGGTACGTTCCTTGTCAACTTCGACGTTCTAGTTCATCACCTAACGGTTCACCTACTTTTCCAGCTCGCTGGAAGCCGCTCTGATATCACCGTCAGCCAATTCTCGCACAGTTTCCAACAACCCAGTGTCATCGCCAAGATTGCAGGCACCTCTGCCTCTTCCCCAATCACGATTTTCGGTGCACACCTTGACTCGACCAACCAGTCCAACCGAACTGGCCGGGCTCCTGGTGCTGATGACGATGGATCTGGAACTGTCAGTTTGATCGAGACGTTCCGAGCCCTCGTTGCATCCGGCTTCAAGCCTTCTACTCCCCTCGAGTTCCACTGGTACGCCGGTGAGGAAGGTGGTCTGCTGGGATCGCAGGCTGTTGCCACGAGCTACAAGAACGCTGGTGCTCAGGTCAAGGCTATGATCCAATTCGACATGGTTGCCTAGTGCGTAATGCTGCTCTTCCTCTTCTTACCTGTTCTCGAAACTGACGTACGCCTCAATCTTAGCTTCAAGCCCGGCACCAAAGAGGTCATCTCGCTCAACAACGACAACTCCGACAGTGGATTGAACGCTTGGCTCGTCAAGGTTGCCAAGGCATACTCTACACTTCCCGCTGAGCTCACTAGAACTGTGAGCACCTCCTTTAGTTGACGTTGGTGTGCCTTCTAGTGCTAACCATTATCACTCGCAGTGCGGATACGGTTGCTCCGACCACGCCAGTTGGTACAAGGCGGGATACCCTACCGCTTTCCCCTTCGAAGCTGCGGATGGCAACTACAACCCCAACATCCACACTACGGGCGATACCACCTCGGTTAACGGTTTCTCCTGGAACCATGCCCTCGAGTTCGTGAAGCTCGCAGTTGGTGCAGCGTACGAGTTGACGGCTTGAGTGCGAGTAGGTTGAAGTAAAAGAAAATCACCGTGTATCATATGAGGGTAGTATGTATTCGAATAAGCCGTTGCACGAGACTACTTATAAACTTACACCGAGTGCGAAACGAGTCAGGGAGGAGCACAATGAGAGACGAGCGGCTACAGTCTGCACTACGCCCGTGATCCTTTGTCCTTCCTTTGATCGACCCACTGCAGTGGTGCTATTGTACGACGAGTGGCTTATTGCTCTTATTAGCCCTCTTTCTTCATTGGGCGTGATTATTGTATGACCGTGATTCTTCCTTTCGCAGCGCTTTGGCCATGGTATTTATATACTTTATATACCACTCCGGGTATATTGTCCTTTCTCTCCTCTCCATAAACAGTCGTTTCTGTCTTCAATTCGTATTCCGCCGCTTACTCCCACTCCCGCTTCATGAACATGGCAAGAACGAACCCCAGCACAATGAAGATGAGGCTGAACAGATTGTCCAGGACTCCTTCGACATCTTCGGTACACTCCAAGGCGAACATGTCACAAGCACAGTACAAAGAGTTTCTTGAGAGGCGACGAAGAGATCAGGAGAGTGAGGACACGAAGCCCGTCCCGTTTCCGAAGGTGAGTATTTGTGAATCCCGCTATTCACAATCACGTACTAACCCCCGGAATGAATCAGGAGCTTGATCGGGTCCTTTTCAACACGCTCAGGAGTGTCAAATGCGAGGTGTATCCACTGGACGGGCTGCATTGGACCCCGGAGCAGCTTGCCAATCAGAGTAGGACGCCACACAAGACATCATCGTCCAGGGTCAGGTCCTCGACTCTCGCTCGATCTCACTCGGAGCCACGACTAGAAATACTTTCTTCCCCAAGTTCTTCTCCCAAATCCGGGTTGCAGCGTCGCTCGAAAGAGAACGCAAATTCGCAGAACAGCCCGAAGGCAACCACTCGTGTCCGATCAAGAACTAACTCGACTACCTCTTTGTATGTGAACATCACGAATCAACTTGGTACGGTTCCTACGCAGGACGGCTCGGAGGATGGCTTTTTGAATCTTTTTAACACCGACGAGGATGACCTGAAGACTCCAACGGTACAAATTCCTGGTGACTGGCCGGTAGAGTCCGAGCTTGACGACGGTGCCACTTCTTCCCTAGTACGGGCTATCATGGACGGGAGACAAGAGGTCAGGGATATTGATATGGAGCTCATGACTGGCATCGACTTTTTAGAGTGTAGTCGCCCGGGGGACGACGAGCGAATAGGGCTCCCCATGCGGTTTTCTCAGAATCAGATGATCGTTTCGGAGGATTCGGATCCTTTTGGTTTTGGGACGACTCCAGAGTCATTCAAGCTACGGAGGGCCAATTTCGGGTGGGCCGATCCGGAGGTCGATGGTCAAACGAGACAGCGAAGCTGGGTTGAGTAGATCTAGAGTTGTTTCAAGCTCGGGCTTTGAGCGGCATCGCGTAGTATAACTCTATAATATTCTGTCTCGGGTGGTTCTTCACACCGTGAAAACAAGGGGGGATCAAAAACTTTTAACTACGTGACCCTCTATAACCCACGGCGGGACTCGAACCCGCAACCTCCAGATACACTCAGACCGAGATGTAGAAGTCTGACGTCATAGCCATTAGACAACGCGGGCTTGATTGAATGGTCTCAGCGGGCTTACTTGTATTGCCCTTGACTCAGCGCGAGTTCTTTGGGTGCACCTCCCGCGATTTCTTACTCCGACCACCATTACGACGCTGGCCGAAGCATTGCATACTCGTTGCTCGGACCTCTGAGTATGCCGCTTCTAGTAAACTCGATGATCCAACCATCAAACATGCGACAAAAAGAGCAGATGGTTTTTATTGTACCGCAACAGGGTTGTAATGCATTTATCCCCATCCGGGCTTTTACTCTTCAGGTTCGTTTGTTCAGAACCCTACCAGCCATGGCTACCTATTGTTCAACCTTTTCAGTAATGGTCTCGGTTCTCGACATTGTCTTTCGTCAATTTAAAAGGACAGCCATCTCGACTGCCACCTTGGTTCATCAAGCTCTACTAGTCCATACCTAATCTCATCGCAAGGTCGGTATCGAAGCTCTTCTCCCTACAATCGTGGCAGAGGCTGACCTGCTTCTAAGATGCAGCCACGCTCTCCTTTAGCCGATACCTCCAACGTCACTCGACGGGTGCTTCAGTTGCAGTGGCAACATCAAACACCCATTGATTTTATCTCGGAAAGCCATGATGAACCGGATGACAATGTACGATCAAACGAAAGCAAGAATGGAATCCAGGGCCCAAGTGAGTAAAACTTGAAAATCCTTGTGAACGGCTTTCTTACTTCTTGCTCTTACCCCCAGGGGCCAAGAATACTGCGAACAATCCGAGGGGTCGTATGAGTCGTTTCCTCGACTTTCCGCTAGATGTCATTCACGAGGTAAATAGGCAACCATATATTCTCATAACCTCTCGAACATAAATAGCTCATGATTATCGATCCGTATAGATCTTCGGACAATGTGAACCAGAAACCCTCATCGCTCTGACACGCGTCAACCGAACCTTTCGTGCCGCACTCTTATCCAACGTAAACCTCTGGAAAGACAGGCGGGTCGAATGCGGCATACCTGCACCTTTACCGGGGTTCTCAGAACCGGGGTGGATGAAACTGTTATTTGGAGGAGCTAGGTGCCAGGTAAGTTGCACGCCACTGACGACCTCATCGGTGATAACCTGAAGCGAATCTTGCGCGTCCATTCATCAGGTGTGCAACGGCAGAAACGTTTATAAAGTCGATTTTGATCTCCGAAAGAGAATTTGTAAAGAGTGCCTTCGCGACCCAGAGCAGTGAGTGTCCTTGAAAGGTTCTGGTTGTGAAATCCCTCGAGTCTTAACGCCTTCTGTCATTAGATTTGTCAACCTATTGGAATACAGCAAGGAAGCAGATCCTGAGGGTGACCCAAACGTCGTCGCTCGTACCTGGACCAACTTGGTGATCTGCAACGGTGCGTTGTCGCAATGCTGTATGGAACACTCGCTGAAGTCGCAGCCAATAGAGGATATGTATTGTCGCGCAGACGAGTTTCATATGGCTCTCGACGGGTTCGAGAGGATACTCCTCAATCCGGGGTTCGATCGGATTGCCTTAGACAGCCACCCCGAATTATTGGCCTTATTCACCCAACGAAAGCTCGAGGTTAGGAATTTATCAAATGTGAGTTGCGTGGATCTATCAAGCGAGCGAGGCAGTTATTAATCAGTAACTGTGGTTTTGGATAGAGAATTCAGCAATGCAAGATCTGGCAGCTCAAGTGGTGGACTGCGAAGCGTGGGGAAACTCGCGCTGCCAGGCAAGCTAGATCTGCAGAGAAGAAGTCCCAAATTGAGGCTTGCCGACGGGAGTTAGTCTATCTACCCTGTAACCGAGTCGAAGCACGCTCGCTGACAAGCCTATAGGGCCAGAACGCGCCTATTCCAGATGGGTTACACATGGGCCGACTTCGGAGTGATCGCAAAACACAAACTCATTTCTCAGATCCAGCCATTGACGGACGATGGTAAGTACTTTGATCTCCACTGTATCTCTGCGTTCTCACCGTCAAATTCCGAGACAGAATGGCAAGATGCGCTACCCGAGCTGCTCGAGAAAATTGGTGTCGATCGGTTCATTCGTACCTCCAAGGCGTACAATCGTCGTGATTCACGGAGACCTGGCTTGGCACCGCGCATGGCAATGGTCGAGCATATCTACGGTCGGGTCAAGGCCAAATTCCCGCCTGCTGAATACAAGAGCTTCAAGGCATTCTCCTCTTTCAAACGAATCATTCTGCTGGGCGGCTGTGGCTTGACAGACAAGCTGCTGGTCGATTTTCCGCACCTTGTCGCGGTTTTCACTCACCCGGACAGTGTGCCAGTGCAACAAATCAACTTCGATGGGATTGAGGAGGAGTTTGAGGCTGGGATCGAGGAATACCACCGCCCGAGCACTGACTGAGGAGGTTCGACTCCGTTGAAGAAGATATTGACAAAAGCAAGTAATTCACGATGTTTATGATTTTATATGTTTCAATAGCTGTGATATACACGAAATCCTATGTACTTCTAAGTATGCATGTACGTTACAATATGTACTACCGACCAATTATGTTGCCCAAGGCCCAATATCCGTCGCCAATTTCCGTTTATCCGAAGATGTGACCTCATCACGGTCACGCTAAGTCACAGCGTGATTCTTGATTTTCGCTCTTGGCCGCTGTCTTCTTTCTCTTACAACGATCCTCGTTTATTCGGTCTCGACCCGTCTGTGCAACTTGACTTTTTGCCAAATAACTCAAGTTCTGCTCCATTGACCACGATGCTACAAATCCTATCCTAGGCTCTGTCACTCGCTCGCCGAAGCAGCAGCCTCAGCCAAGAAGATGGTGAAACGCACCTCATCATTGGACAGACGGATGCGCACCCAGTTGGAGCTCAGATAGGCTCACTTGCTTCTTCAATACGATTCTTCAAATCCCAAAACCGTAGAGAACCACGATGCTACTCTGAACCCTGCAAGTCAGACTAGACAGGACTCGTCAAGACTACAGACATCTGGACTAATCCACTGTGGATTTGTACTCGACAAGAGGTTTGCCGTGGTGTCTCCCCGCTCAAGCGCTGATAAGTTATGGAGAAACCAGATTAAGGGAGTCATGCTGGAAAAAACCGAGGAGGATTGTCGAAGCGGCAACACGCTCGAAATGCGCGGTATCCGTTATTAGTGCAAATTCCCTCGACTTAGGTTTATCTTGGGAATTCCACCTTATCTTTGTGCTCGCCGCGGGAATCCTCAAGACCCGATGTGCCACTCCTTGCATGCTGGAAACCTCGTGTGGATGGCGTTCTTGTGTCCTTCGAAATGCAGTGTTTCTACCTCGTTTCAGAAATGCGCCAAAGTCCAGAATACGTACTTCTGCTCAAGTTAGCCTTCGGCGCGTGTGCGCCTATCGTCTGTCTCCCGTGTTTTTCTCGAATCCTGGAGGGTCGTCGTTTATGGGTAAGGTATGAAGTTCATATGTCCTAGACCCAACTTTGATACGAACGCTCGAAGAAACCTCCCACTGACGCAGGCAACACCCGTCCAATACGAGGGGCAGCACGCGTTCTACACGTTGCTGCCAGGTTGGACCCCTGACGGCGTTTCGAGTGAACCAGTGTTATGGTGTGATCGCCCCGTGTTCCTACGAGAACCAGTACAAAAGACATGCATCCCCAGGCTATCGATTCTATCCCACATCCCTCCTTCTATCTCTTTCTTTCTCTCTCTCTCTCTCTCTCTCTCTTAAGTTATCCTCTTTCTCCTTTTTAATATATTCTTTCTCCCGCTTCTCCTCTCTCCGCCTTTTCCCTCAGTCTCCCCTATTACTATATTCTCGTTTGATTGGACCTCATTCGGTTTCCGTCTCGCCGTTCTATATCTTTCGGCATCATCATCATACCCCTTCTCATACCCCCGCATTCATCATCCTTTCTATTCATCCTTGGCATGTAATTTATATTTCCTTGCAGCTCTTCATTTCTTCGCTTACATTCATCAAAACTTCCATTTGTTCGCCGCTATCTCTATTTCCGTTCGCAGCAACTCTCGAGCATCTGTATTTTCATTCAGTCTCTTTCCTCTTCCTTGTCTCCCTGAATTCTCGTTTCCCTTCATCGCTCTCTGGTATCCTTTAGGGAGCATACAACCTTTTTCGGGTTTTTCACGACCATCGTAGAACACCAATCCCGTCGGTACGTTCCTTTACATTTACCCGAAGTGAATGTTCCCTAATTCTTTCCCCCAGTCGTCCATCTGACGATCGGCGAGTGAATACCCATCATCTCTCTTGAGTCGAAAGTGGTCTTCATGTCAATACCATCTATACTCACATTCATATGAGGAGGTTCTAGGTGCGTCGTCTTTCGTTTCTGTTCGCTTTTCGTTACCTGATCCAGCCCTTAGAGACCAGACAGGCGGCTTGAGGCCGTGATCCTTTCTTATGAGGAGGTGGCGAACTAGACCTCGCATCCCTTCGTTTGATACCCTCGTTCTACGGTTTCCAGACATCACGACCTTCGTCCACCCTTATAGACCCAGCTACTCTCCCGTGTCCATCATAGGTGGACGCTGTTACGCTTCGCGCCATGATTTGAAGACGGGTCTTCTCCATATATCCCCCATATCCCCCATCTCCCCGACTCTTCGACCTCTCGTCTACGGAGTATTTATGCGGGTTTGCGGTGAATCTACACTCGCAGAGCCTCTCACCTGCACTACCCTTCCATCGGCCACAGAATACCCACTAGCTCCCCAGCACCAATCTCCTATAGGTGCTTCCCTGGACCATCACAGTCTATGCACCAACCTCCCTGAGGCAGATCTTGACAAGCTAATATACACCCTGTCGTCAATCTCGCTCCCTTGGTCACATCTCCTCCCGTGTGTTTCGCACTCGGATTTTGCCGTCCTTGTTCGCCTTTTCGATGTCGTTAGCCCTGGAGGCTGATGCACACCTTTCAACTGCCTAAAATTGTATCCATCCCTAATTCTGATACTTTGCTCATTTTCCCTTCCAGTTTTGGTCCCAATTATGCCTGCCTAGGTTTCATCCCCCATGCTTTCCCTTAACGATTAGATATGCCTTTCAATTCAATACTACATGCCTACCTATCCTGTGACCAGTGCAACACGAATGGCGTTCTGTCAGGTTTTGTCCCGTCGACTTTATCGATGGAAATGAGATCCGATCAATATTATGATTGAGTAGCCGTTCAGTGGCCTGAGTACATCATTGACGCGCTCCATGAAAGAGAAAAATTTTACCAAGCTCGCACTATTCCGACCTGCCTGGTTCGAACAGGCGACCCCAAGATCAACAAGTGGCAACCAATTACAGTCTTGTGCTCTTCCAACTGAGCTAAGGTCGGTAGATGACTTTCAGAATGTCAGGTTACGTATATTCCGTTGGGATGCGTTGTTCTTGAGCTTTTGACCAAGCCTTCTGCTTCATCCTGCGCCTACGCTTCAGGTTCAAGTAGTACTCGGTTTCGCGAGTTATACTATTGTATCATGGTCCCGCGATAGTCATGCTTAAACTTTTTGAAGGCGCCATCATCAAGGACTGGACAGTTCTCGGTTTCCTCCGAGCGCCGGACTAGCACGTAAGGACATTGCAAATCGATTCGCATTGTGAGGTCAACCTGTCAGCTTGCAGCTCCTCAATCTAAAGGGCTGTGAGCAGTTGGAAATATGAGGTAGCGACAAGGAACAAGTCTATGGTGGGCTTCGGTTGCTATGAAGGCCATATCGGCTGTCCAGGGAGGAGAGGTTTGAATATTGGATCAAATGTAAAACGAGAGCTCTCCTCAGCTCAATCAGTTCTCCGTGATGGACTGAAGTTCATTTGACCTGGTGTCTGGATCGACTTCGCTCTATGGGGGGTGACCGTGCAACAACCAATAATCGCACATAGTCGTGCAGAATAACTGAGGGTTTGTCGTGGTAACAATTTGCCTTCTCACTCACTCGCGACGGTCTTTGAATGTTAGTCCGATGAATGGGTGCGAAGGAAATGCAAACAGACCCGAACTTGACTATTTCTTCATTGCCTAGCACGGCTCGGCAAGTCGCGTGGCCCATCAATCGCGAATCGCGATCGACTCGGGAACTCTCACGATGTCCATGACCCTACCATTACTACTCCCGTTCCCTTGTCACTTCTTCTCATCAATTATCACTGGAAAGGACCATATCATCGCTCCGCCACTACTACATCGTCAATAGGTTGAGCACACCGGGTTTCAGGTTCCCGGCGGTATGTACCGATTACGACTTTAGAAGAGCTCGGTCCAGGGTCCCAAAATTACTTTCCATCTCAGACGCCGTCATTCTCAAGGTCACCGTATACGGATTAGCTCTTTCAATAGACATTTTAGCTGCCACTTTCAGTCCCCTATTCTATGAAGGATCTCATATAAGCTACATAAGCTTTATCCTTGAATGCCGTCGCTGTCCCCTCCAACCGATCCCCCAAACTCTCGCACCGGATTCCTCGATGGGTATCGATTGGCAAGCCCCCGAAACAGTGGCAGCGAACGGATGTGAGTCTCATAAGTTATAAAGAGGAAGGCTTACCTAGAAATGTTGGATTCCCTCTCAACAGTGGCGTTCGACCGATTTCTTCATGCGCTCCTGGGAATTTACGCGTTCGTGATGGAGCTTCTTGTGTTCACCTCGCACGGTCATTGATACTACCTGAAGATGGGAATGGATTGTCAGCCTGGACTTCGATTGGGCATTTATAACGGGTCGGAAAAAGTTTCGTTGGCCTCTGGTGAGTTTGGTAGCGTGCGCCCTGCTGCAGAAACTAAGACTTTAGCTCCAGTTTTTTTATTTCTATGGCCGATACGCCATGCTGATTGGGCTGATTGGGTTTGTGGTTGCGCTAGACATACGACAGTGAGCCATTCCTGGATCTCGAAGTTCTTTATGCCTCTAACTTCAACGCACTGCGAAGCCCGATCAATTGCCAAGCGTTGTACCAGGCTCTACTGATTCTCGGGAATTCTGCTCTCGGTGTAGCAAGTGTGAACCTGGCCATTCGCACGTACGTCGACTATCTTCTTTGTTCTTGTGTTAAAACTCAAGCATCCCATTCTGAAGGATGGCGGTGTGGGGAAACAACAAAATGGTCATCGCGAGCCTATCAATCCTTCTTGCGGGACAGTTCGCAATTATTATAAGATCCATGACCAACACAAAAGGTGCTTACGTCGAGGGCACCGGATGTGTGACTGTTTCGGTCGAGGCAAGAGTGTTCGCTGCCATGTACATTGTGACCGTGGTGGTCGATTTCGTGATACTGGTGTTGACGGCGTACAAGACATACATAAACTACCGAGATTCCCGTCGCAGCGGTCTCATCAGACTCATATTCCAGGACGGTTTAGCGTACTTCGCCGTGGCGTGAGTACTAAGTCATGTTTTAGTCTAGGGTTTGGCGGCTTACCGTGACTACTCCCTCTCCCCCATAGATTCCTCGGGAACCTTATTGCTGTGGTATGTAAAATATTATACTGAAGTGGCTCAGGGTCTTACTGAGACTTTTCTTAGATCTTCTCAATACTGGCACTCAACCCTGTGATGTCGCTAATTGCGGAGTACGTTCTTCTGTCCAATTAGTATGAGTCCCCGTTCTCACCCAGCTTCAGCGTACCGGCGACCACTTTTGCCACCATGGCTGCTGGTCGCGTCGTTCGTCGTTTAAACACATATCTCACCGGCGCCCCGCAGATATTGTAAGTCTCTCTTATGTGAGGTGACTAAGTCGGGCTCAGGATTCTAATCCACTATTTCTTTCCTTTTCTTTGGTAAGCTCGGCCTCCTTGCCGCCCACCAAACCGCCCGTCCATAGTAGGGTCAGTAATACCGGTGGAGTTCGCGTCGAGGTATCTAAAAGCACTTTCTTCAACGCCATCTCGGTAATTTTGACCTCTATCTCTTTGCAGATGACGACTTTCACTCAATCCGATACCATGGATAAATCAACAAGTCCCCCCTCACCGCACGTCGAAGACCTAGAAGGGCAGAACTTCCGTCGAGACTCTGGGGATGATATTGTCTTCAAATCTCCCTCCACGCTTTGACCGTGTATTGTACCTGTATATGTTTGTGAGTATCCTGATAGTAGAATTCAATTTCGTAAGAGACCAAGGCGGGAGTTACAGGCACATAAAATGTGTAGGACCCAGAGTCCCAACTCAAAGTGGCGGAGCGTTACTTTGGAAACTAGGGATGAACGCTTCGACGCCGCGGTATCTCGTTGTAAGTGAAGGAATCGGCGGGAAGTGAGGTATGTGGGCGCTTGCATCGGACGCTTGAATTCCCCGCCGGAGGAGCGGTCCGAGCGCCTGTGGTTTCCGGCCGACCTTGGGTGAGAGGCTTGGAGCCGCCAGCTTGTTTTACTACGTCCATCACTACCAGTGCATCGGCAGCAGAACTCTCGAAGTTCTTCGAGCCCTCTTTTGTCCGAATGGCTCTGTATCGTAGTCTTGGGGGCGCACACTGGCAAAAATTCCTTGTTACTTCAGGTCTCATCCATATGCGCCACAATCCTTCCATTACAGTAAGTACCCAAAAAAGTCACTCAATATTCCATACGTGATGTAGAACAAAGGAGCATCTCACAATAATTTTTAGATCAGCCTCAAAACGCCACAGTGGATACCGAATCAACGACTCCTCTGCCGATCCGCCGTTTCCTCTGCCTCGGTTTTCCTCTGAAGGCCAATGAACGTGTCATATGATCGGGAATCGCCACCATCGAGAAACGGTTAAAAGGCTCTAAATTGCAGTTTGTGATGTCCTGCGACCCTGTACCCATGGCGCTAGCCGCGAGGCTGGGGGCACTTCGCCGTTCGTTAGTGTCTTAATCATCCATATCATGGAGACTGTAACTTTCCACCCTCCCTCACCAGAGTGTTTCCTCAACATTCATTAGCACGTGAACCCTGGTTGAGGACGATATCATCCTGACTAACAGCAAGTCCGTATATCCGTCCAATCAATCATTGTCAAGACTCCAAGGAACCGAGTTTCATGATCAACAGACACTCCGGGAAGAATGTCATGATTCGCCAGGGAACTTGAAGAGACTTGTACTTATAGGATACAGACCGGGGCGTGGAGAGTTTCATTGTTGAGGACGCTGTCGTCCATTTATTCGTGAACATCTTGACCTTGGTCTTCTTTTCTCCCCTCCTTCATCGCCCCTCCCCCCTGGTAGATGTTGTATGGATAGGCGGTGAGTAGTTTGGAAGTTTTGCGATGTTGTCTACTCCCTTCTGACTGGAAACTGCAAAGGTGGATATTCATTCTTTATCTTCACGTGTTTTGGAGTGCGGTCGCGGCCTTAGCCATTGGGAGGGGTTTCGAGAGCGGCGGAGAAGGTTCGAATACAAGGAGCGAAAGAATACCAGTCGAAGGCTTGGGTGCGCCGACTACGTTCGTTCAGATCCTACAGAGTATTACACTTCACTTACTAACTTCGCGCCTCAGAATGTTTCAACGCCTGGAAGCCAGGCAACCACCTTGGGCAGGGGGAAGTTGGGATTCGTCACGGTTCTCTGGCACACCGCCGTGGGCCCACGGGTGGCCCGGTTCAACTGTGATTCAGACCGTAACTGCTACCACCACAGTTGGGGGTGAGACAGTACCTACAGCGTGAGTGTGGTATTGAGATTGCATCGACCCCAGCTTTGTGATATGTGATTGATTGAGAAGTACACAATCGTTCGACAGTCCCACCAACGCCGACTCCAAAACATCCGATAACCCAACTTCTTCGCAAAACCCTCCGCTTACAGCCACAGTCACGACTCCATCAACCTCCGTTTCTACCGCTACTGAGGTCGCCGCCGCTTCGAGTAATTCGAGTAGACCAGCACTTGTCGGGGGTATTGTTGGAGGCGTTCTCGTCCTTCCAATCCTCATTCTTCTGCTCTTGCTCTGGCGGAAGCGACAAAATAAGCAAAAAGAACCATCATTGACACCATACCACGTACACCAGTCTAATCGGACCTCCGCCAAATCACAAGGTGAAGGAGGGGAGAGGAGCCAATCGCATCGACCTACGTTGATGGTAGATACGAACGCAATATTGCCCATTGTAGCTCAAGCGACAAGTCCGGGGTCTCGTTCACGGGAATATCCCTCGCCCTATGACCTCGGATACTCGAAACGGCGACAACCGGATTTCAATACCCCCATATCAGCTTCCACACAGAGATCCAGGACCTATATACACGCCGATAGTGGCTGGAGACCGCCGAGGGAAGGTAATCAGAGCGTTAGGGAGATGCCTCCAGTATACGAGGATGCGCGCTAGGGAGAGATATAGTAGATTTGATGCCAGTTGTGCACTACGGGG